GATTTCTGGACAACTTTTTTTTTCCTTTTCTGATCAATTTCCATTTTCTTGTCTTTTTTCATATACTTCATGCCCTTAGGTTGAGCTGAACCCTTCAAGGTATTGTCAGTAATAATATCAAGTCCGTTTACTGTATAACATTATCTGTTATTAATAATGATAATAATAATAGAATGTATTTGAATGAGAAAAAAAAGTATCGAGTTAAGTACAAGTTTACCTGGATAATACATGTTTCCAACTGACACTCCCAATGAGATTCACCTTGTCTTTTCTGATGCCTTTTACCACCCAAAAAGGTAATACGTTAATCATTATTATTATTCAGGCAAAAAATTGAGTTCATTTTTTGTTCAATCCATTTTAGCAAATAAAAAGAATCAAAGAATGAAGAAAATTTTTTTTCTGAAAAACTTTGAAAAAATGGTTCAGATTTATCAGATAGAGTAAACTTGAATTTTTGAGATTTCATGTTACTCTTTTTCACCATTTGATTTCCATTGATAATCTTTTTCACCTTTGATGGTTTGTTTTTCAGCTTTAACCATGGTGATTGTGTTTATTGTTGCAATTAGATGGGTTTAATTGTGGCTGGTCACTTATGAGCACTTGGACATGTTCAATTAAACGGCTAATTTGAATGATGATTGCAACCATTAAACTAATTGTGAACATGTTTGTTGGTCTCGTTAGTTGAGCCTGATGAGCCTTTCAAATGTGACCCAAGAGTCGATCCTAATGGGTTGGCAATTGGTTATGATTGAGGTGAAAATAACAGTTATTTACTTTTCTTGCAATTAACAGTTAAAGTTTACATTTAAAGGTGACTTGTAAATGAAACTTTGACACTGAAACATTGAAATCTCATGAGATGATTGACCATTGATTTTGACTGTGTTCATGGCTTTGAATCAGGTCAAGTTAATCAGCAAAGGAAACTAAAAAGGTTAACATTTAATCTCTTCTCTCTGGCTCTCTGTTGGTGATGATGTTGATGATGATGAACCATATTAGCATGAGTTACTCCATTGAGAAGGACTTCATGCTGTTGAGGGTGGGATGTAAGAGGAGTTGATGAGGAGGAAGATGATCAGACGATGATGATGATGATGATGAAAGATGATATGAAAGCAATACTGGAAAGGAAAAGATTGAATAGAAGAGTAAAAATTGTACAAAGGAAAGTTTAATATCAAAGATTATTTGTAAGCAAAGAAGATGAAGGTTTGTGTGTGTGTGTGACAGCAAAATTAATTGCAATCAACGTTGAGAGAGGAAAGCAAATGATCAAGGTTTTGCCTTGTTGTTTATTAATAATAATACTGCAATTTGCTTCCCAATCCCAAAAAGCTTAAACTTTTTCTTCTTCTTCTTTTGATGATTGATTCATTTTGAGCTTATGATTACTTTATCATGATTTCAAGTAAACTTTTTTACCACCGAAACCGAAAAAATCAAGTTTCTCCATTTTCTCTTTAAAACTATCATCAGCTATCATCATCATCTTGTTTAATTGCCCATCAAGTCTTTTCCACTTTTTCACAGTTCACCTTTACCTATCATTCAATTGAACGATCAAAAGATTTGTCATTGAAAGACGAATCAACTTTAAGCGAATCTTGATTTTTTACAAAATCACACATTCGCATATTAAACAGTCAATTTTGTCCAAAAAAATTGAACATTGAGAGAAGCACTAATCTCTACTTGATGCTCATCTTTATCCTCATCAATTTTTCATGAACTTTGCCTGTTAATTTCCTCATAATCAAGTGACCATTTGAGTCGCCTTTGCTCATTTCCATCTCTCTGTATCTTAATCTTGCTACTGTTATCTTGCTCTTTCATCTTCTCTTCTCTTTATCTGCCGTTATCTTCCACTTACCTTTTCTCATCATTTCTTTACTTCTCTTTACTTGCAGATTACGTGATATAATCTTGTCTTTACCTTTTTTTGCCTTTCTTCCTTTTTTTTGCCTGATAAGACAGGTAACAAGAAGAAAAGATGAAACAAGTTGATGATGAAGGAATAAAGAAGTAAAGAGAGAAAAATCTGAACCAGTCCTTCTCATGGTCGTACTTTTTTTTATACCCAATTTCATCAGTGAATAAGCAAATTCCTTTAAGCAAAAGTCAGTGAAAGTTGTCAACTTAAAATTCATCATCATTCTCATCATTATCGTTATCAAAAATCTCTTCTTCTTCTTCTGCCTTTCACTTGCCACTTTCATCAACATCTTTCGGCATCTTACCTTTATGTGATTTTTCACTCAAAGTAACATTCAAAAACATCATCAAATGACATTTATTTCAATAAAAAATCCATTTTCATTGCCAATGCAAGAGAAGTAAAAATCTTTTCAATGAAATCGAGTGAAAGTTCATACAAAAATTCATTTTCCTCTTCAGCGCGTACCAAATTTTTCCATTTTTGTCATTTCGTCAATTCTGAAATAGCTAATGGCCAAAAAACTTTCATCGGAAATGAACTCGAACCAGAAGGAACACTAAACGCTTTTACACTTACAACTTGCATTTGATTTTGGCTTCAAAATAAAGTGGTTTTGTCGATAAAATTGAAAACAGATAAAAAATTCTTTTAATCTTTGCTTCTATTGCAGAGGAAATACTTGAAATGACCAAAAATCTCTCAAAAATTTCTGAGCAAAATCGATTAAAAAAAGAATCTTTTGTCTTGAAATAAAAGCTTCAAAAATCCTTTTCCTTCGATTGTTAATCTTGCTCTCGAAGAAATGACACTTCAATGTGTGCTATTTCGGATTATCGGATCGAAACTGAAACTCGAAGATGATTTTTGTCTGTTCAGGAAAAAAGTAACTAAAATCGAAAAATGAAAAGCAAAATTTTGGATGAAACAAAAGTCGTAAAAGTTCCGAACAATTTTCTCGATTTTCAACATTTCTTTTACATTGTTAATCACTAATAGATGGCGCTTTGTGCTGCAATTAAAATGTCAACATTTAAAGATTTGATTTGGTTCGTCCTTGCAATAAGAAAGTAACAATTCATGATGGATTGTGAACTAATCGATAATCTGATTCTGAAGGTACATTTTTGATTAATTATCCATTGAAATGTCAAATGTTGAATAATGAAACATTATTTCAAAATAAACTGTAAAAGCAATTGTTTAAACAAGTAAAGGACTAAACAAGGAAACACGGAAAAAAAGTTACAAATAAAAAACTAGAAACACTCGAATGGCTTAAAAGACTGTTTTTTTGGTTCCTTCAACTGTTTGCCCTGTTTTCAGCCTAAGGAGATTCAGAAAGTTGTTCAACCTTTTCGACTGAGAAATGAAATAATTTTGTTTTTTCTTTTTCCTGTTCATCTTATTTGAACAGCTCAACCACAAGTAAATAAGGGCCAAAAAAGGATTGCAATTAGCTCGAACCAGCAACTGTGCAAAATCAACTGTTTTTGTTGAAAAAAAACTCACAAAATCAAACAACTCACCTCTTTCTTACATTGATAAACAATCTTTTTGTTTCATCTAATTCTGTTATTTTTACCATCTTTCATCATCTTATTTGTTAAGATGATAAACCTCGAGGCAAAAGGTTGAGCATCTTCATTTGATAACAATGTTAACAAAAGTTGCTCAAAGTGTCTTCTTAACTTAATTAAAGAGACAAGAACAAGGAACAACTAAAGAGTCAAGAAAATTAAAAAAACGCGTTTCTTTGGCAAACATTTTCATTCCTTTTCATTCTCATCTCATGATAACCAAGTTGAACCCAAATAACAAAACCTAGTCGACATGAGAATCAAGAGGAAAGATCAAGTTTGGATCGAGCTGGTCTTCGATCTATTAGCATTGGTTAGACATCAATTATCTCAGTCTCTTGTTGCAATTAATGAAAGTTTGGTGAAAATGGCGAGTCGAGTGAATGGTCAACGATAACTAAGGTTTCATTAATTAAGCAAAAGTGGATCACAATCCCAGTTAGTTGATATTTTAATGCTAGAAACATTTTACTGGTTACAATGGCAGCATTATGATGATATTGAATTTCACTATCCTAAGGGAATGAAAAGGCATCCGGAAAAGACGAAATTGTTATTCTTGTTCATAATATTGGTTACCATTGAAGGAGCCAAAAGTTATTCTCAACCGGAACAACATTTAATTTCCGTTTACCTTGCATTTGCGATGAACCAGGAAATCTGTTGTTTGGTCAAATTAAATGTCGCTTTTTGCGATTCTTAGTCCTTTTAATCCATTCAAATAGGCAATTTTGATCAAATTATCCAGCAAACAGAAAATCTCTCTTTGCTATAATTAGCATCTTACTATTCAATTAATCTGGTTTCAAAAATAGAATTGAAAAAAGACACAAAAAATCTGAGAAAATCTCAACAAATTTCTATTCTTTACTGAACTTCTGTTGAAAGGAATATCTTGCAACAGTAATGAGTTGTTTCACTTTGAAAATGATAAGATTTGCTCAATGAAAATGCGTAAAATGCAGTTGAATAATGAAGCTAAACTGTAAGTTGAAATGAACTTTTAATGAATGATGAAATTGAGCAAAAAAATGAACTAAAGTTGTGAAGAAAAGGAAAAAGTCTGAAACAATATTTGAAGTTTACATAATGTTGCATTTTGACCTCTAATTATTAATGATTAGCAATGTTGTTGATAATATTATTAAAATGATTAGTACATATACATCTGAAGGGTAAGAGCCTGTGAAAAGAGGCTGTTAAAAGAGACTGAAGAGAGATGGTGATGATGATGATTGAAGAGGAAGATAAGTTTCAGCAAGAAAAAAAGAAGAGAGAGAGAGAGAGAGATGAAGAGAGAAAAAAAAGTTCTTATAGGAGGAGTCTGGATGATGTTGGATGAGGAAGCTCATTCATCTCTCTATAGGCTGGTTCAACTGGTAAGGAAAGGAGGAGTTTTACCTTCCCCTTGATATATTTGGATTGGCTGTGGAGCCAGAGTTGAAGCTGGTGGTGTGACTGTGAGCTGTGTGTGTGTAAAGCCTTGCTCTGCCTCTTGCAAAAGGAGGTGTCTGCCTTATAACCTTAGCTGCTAACAGCACAACAAAACGAGGCGAGGCTTTTACTCTCTCTCCTAGCCCCAGTTGTCTCACAGTTTTCCTCTCATTTTTCTCAGTTAACAACGTCAAGATTCGCACTTTGAAAGCGCGCAAACGCCTTTACTCAATCTCAAGTTCATACTTTTTTTTCTTCTTCTTTTTCCTCCTTTTCATCTCTTCTTTTTGCCCATCATCATCACCACCACCAACACCACCACCACCACCACCACCACATTCAACATCATCAACACATCAACCTCTTTTTTTGCTAGTTACTTTTTTTCTTCTTTTCTCTCTCTTTCAGTCTCTCTTGAGTCTCTTTCTCTATGTGAGTTAATGTTTCATCATCAACAACATCATCGATATCATCATCCTCATCACTATCATCTTGGCTTGTATTTATTGTGCCACTAATTACAAGTTTTGCGCTTATTTCGTTTGGTAATAATCTTGTGCTTTGTTGTTTGTTTGGATTTTTTTGTTTCCATTATTACACTTCAACCTACTGAAAATGGCCTATCAACAGCCTTATTTTTTCCGGCCATCGGATTTTAATTATCGTCAACCACCTTCATCATATTTTTCAGCTTTAACAGCCCTTGAATCACATATACCTGGACTTTTTACCAACTCAATGAGATCTGTTTTTCCAACTCCAGAAGCCATTGCTGGACATCAGTTAAATGATCAACCCTTTGAGGATGATGGGATCGAAGATGATCCCAAGGTGTCCCTTGAATCTAAAGATTTATGGGAAAAGTTTCATGCACTTGGAACCGAAATGGTCATCACAAAATCAGGACGGTAAGTAATTTCAAATTTCACTTAAACTTTCGAATGAAACCAAAACTTCAAATGTTTCAGGATTGAAATTTCCCAATCAGATTCCATTCAACACACACACACTCATTGAAAACATCAAGTGAAAAAACTGTTTAAACTCCATTGAAAGCTATAACAAAATTGAACAACAAAATAAGGACAGACTATTAACTGTTAATTACACAAGATAATATCGCCTTGAGCTTTTCAGCATTTCCAGAAATGTTCAACTCATAAGCAACACTCAATCAGCTATACAAAACTATTTAAATGTACAGAAAAGCAAGAAAAAAAGTCGATTCAAAATTCTGTTCACAATCAACCTTAATTGTAAATTAATTAGAGTTGGACCTTTACACATGAAACATGATTACAACAATTGACAACATTTTGATCAATGTTATGAAATTGATCTTTCCAATTGATTCTTTTGTTGTGTCATTGTGTTCAATTGATTATGCAAGTTAAATGAATGATGGTTTTTATCCTCATCAACATCATCAATGTGATGATATGGGTGGATTGAAAGAAGTGAAAATGATGAGAAAAAAACGGAGAAGGGAACGGAAGATGATGAATAAGCCACGAGACAATTTGCTTGACAATAACAACGATTCAATAACAATTCTTTGAGCTTTTTTCTCTCACTCAACTTTGCAGCGTTTATCCTTTTAAAATCATCTTCTTCTCAATGACACTTCTCTCTTTTCTCATCTTCGTCTCTTCTTCTTCTTCTTCCCAAGAAACATGGCTCGACTTAGATGGGACTGATAAAAATTGTTGTCCTCTTCTTTTAATAATTTAAGGTACAATGGTGATATACATAGCAATAGGAATGACTCGAGAAAAAAGACGAAGATAAGGACTGAAAAGAAAGATTGAGAAGATAGTGAGAGACAAGAAAAAGGACCGACTCTACGCTAATACCTATTGCTATCTGTACATCTTAAACTATCTTGTGTTCACCAGCCAAGCCGAAGCATCTCTCTTTGCAACTCATCCCACTCTCTTGCAAGGCTTTCTCTTCTTCTTCTCATCATCATCATCCTCTTGACTAATCAAGAAAATATCACCTTCTTTCCTCAAACACTTTGCCTTCTTCTCTTTGTCTTTGCGTCTTTTCCTCTCACTTTGTCTCTTCTTCTCTCACCAATCAAACTTGTCAGTTTTAAATAACCCTTTGAATCAGACAGAAGAGATGATGACAAAGAAATGGCAGACTATAATTTTATGGTTGCTATTCATTTCAATTACTCTTATCTGATCGTTGAGGTGATTAGCAATCGAGTTTTTTTTTGTTTTGTTTGTTTGTTTGCCGTTGCACACTAAACAAGGTCACTGAATCTTACAACTCTTGTTAAATGATGATGATCAATCCTAACCTAACTTAACCTAACCTAATCTTTCAACAGCCAAGAGCAACAACAGGTAAAGCCCCTTGTAACTCGGCCCTGTTGAATGCTACTTGCAAATAAGTTTGCAAAAATTGAAAAAAAAGAGGAAACAAGTAACACCAAGTTGTTTCTCCTTCTCTTCATTTCTCATGGTATCATCATCATCATCATCATCATAATCAACTTTTCCTTAGCAAAAGAGACATGTATTGGAAAAAACGAACGCGCTCTCTATATGCTTGTGTGTGGTCTTCATTTTTCTTCTTCTTCTTTCTTCTCTCATCCTGATCTTGATCTTGATCATCACCAGTCTCAGTATCAGTCTTGCTCGAATCAAAGGAATGGGTCTTACTGTCGACAGGACTCTGCGGGCGATTATTATCATTACTATTGCTATTATTGCATCCATTTTAATCCAACATCATATTTCATATATGCTTATAGAGCACGCAATTCAACTAATTCATCCTCTTTTATTCTCATCAAATTAATTCCTCTCTCTCTCTCCCTGTTTAATGCAACCGGAAACAATTTTTAATGAAAAATCATGATTTTCTCAATGACAATTGAAACTAATAGCTAATAATCTGAAAGGCAAATGTTAATAAAAACAATTATATTTGTTACACATTTACCATGTTACCTAACTGAACACGCAACTTTCGTAGTTGTACCTTGTTCAACTAGTACAACCTGATTTTTTTTGTAAAATTACATGTTTAAAGGAACAAGAAAGGTTGGCGAAACAAAAGTTAAATGTTGAATTTTTGTTTACCTGGCTTTTGTTTTTAACTGCTTTTACCTGTGAAGAGGCAATTTAATTTGATTACACTTATCATCTTTGAGCATCATTTGAACAACTTCTTTTTTTTCATCATTTACTTGATAAAAAAAGTTCTGTTCAATAGTGCTGAAGAAATGTTTAGCAAAAATGAATAATCATCAAATTACCTTGATGAGTTTTCTGATTTAATTGTTGCAGGTTTCTGTTGCAAATGTAAAGGTAATGGGCATAAATGTAGGTAAAAGGTAACAAAAAAAGTTTGCTAAAGAGCTAAAATCTTTTGTCTATAATCATGATAAATGTAAAGGTAAGAGGAAAACAGGTAAATAATAGTTGATCCCAGAATTTTTCTGGTTACTTTCAATGTTGATCAAAAAGTCAATCATTTTAACTACTTTTAACACTTTACTGATGATGGCGATGAAGATGAGAAAAGGTTGAAAGTGATTATTGATTTAGATTCAAGGGTCACTTAGTTGATGGTTAAAGATGCATCAATGATGAAGCAAGAAAAGTTAATGGTAAAAGGTCAATTGTATGAATGCAAATGGGTGGACAATCAGTTAAAGGGTAAAATGATTTGATTCAGATGAGGTTAAATGATAAAAGTGGATTGTTTTCTTTTCGCAATCTTTTCTTCTTTTTCTTTCACTTTGATAATATTGACTGGTCAGTTGAATGGTCATTTAGTCATTTTAAATGGATCAAGTTTTGTTCGTGTCTAACAGTAAAAGTTGGATGGGGTTAAAAACACTGTTATACTCTATGAGAGACTGTGAGAAATGGTCAGCAAAGTAGATGAGAATTGAGTTTAACTTTTGTGACAAAAGGTCAACTCTGTTTTTGACCAGTCAACATTGTCCAGTTTAATGTTGTTTGATATTCAAGATAATATCATCATTGCATTATTACAACTTTTGACTCTTGTTTGTTCAACATTTTTTTTTCGCTTTTCTCTCCTTTAATCACTTTCGCCTGTTGGTCTGGTCATTGAATTTACTTTCTTCTTGCTCTGGTCATTTCTACAAGTTAATTGAATAGAAACATTAGCTTGGACATTCTTTTAAATGGCTGACCCCGATAATGGACAATAATGGTATACAAGGAAAAGCTTGCTAGATGATGATGTTCATCTTGATTAGAGGGTTAGATGAATGATTAAAAGGGTTGGCATGATCGAATGGTCAAGGCTGGTCAACATGGTCAACATGGTCAAGCATTGATATATTACAGAGAAGGAAAACTCTTCTATATGAGAATGTTTGTGAAGAAAAAATTGAGGCACAATTTCAAGTAAAGATGATGGTCAAGAGTGGTCAAGTGGAAAAGGAAAATGAAAAAAAAGAGATAAATTATTGATTCAGACTGTTGAGAGTTGCGAGATGATAAGGAAAATGGCGAATATGAGGTGACTTGGCATGATGAAGGAAGATGAATTCAGTCAGAATTGTTGTGAAAAATTATCGAAGGAAAAAACAAGACTTCTCGAGTCGAGTTTGCGCTCAACTTTTGGAGATGAAAAAATGGTTTCATCTTGCGATTCAAAGGCAAACGAACAGAGTTACAAATTGATAGAGGAAAAGATGATGATGATAAAGTGATGGAAAAAGATGTCAAGAATTTTCATGGAAGATGAAAGGGAAAGAAGGATGATGATGGGGATGAGGAACATGTTGGGTTGAAGAGAGGAAAAAGCTAAAAGCTCGTAAAAAATGATGTACACTTTTAATGGAAGCGCAAAAGCAAATGATATTTTATTCAGGTTTAAGTGATACCTTCAACATCTTTCACATCATATCGACACAAAATTCCTTCACTTTTTTTGTTTAATCATCTTTTCTCATCAAACTCTTCATTATCATTATTTTCATCATTTTTGTACTTTTATTGCATTACAGAAGGTGAAGTGGAAAGAAAATAATTTCATGTTTTTTCCTCATTTTTCAACCTTTTTCTTTCATGATGCTATTGATGAACTTGAATGAGCCAAGAAAATGATTTTTACATTTCTTTTCGTTTTTGGGATTTTCTTTCCTTCGTTTTTGTATCGATTTTGGTGAACTTTTTTTTCGACTTCTTTTTTGTTCACTAACCATTTAGACACTTTGTTTACTTGTTCAACCTTTTTCTTTCATGGTAAAGATGAAGCATGATGAAAGAGGAAAAAGCTCAACTAAATGTTTACCATTGGATATTTTGACAAAGCTCAGTTCATCTTATCCAATTGGAGTAAAGAGTAAGCAACAAAATTGAGACGAAAGCTGATAGAACTTGCGCAAAATGTTTCACTTATTGATCCTTTCGAGTGAACCGAAAATTTCACTCTCATCTTCATCTTTTTACCTCTCTTCCTCATCATCATTATCTTCATTCTGGAGAAGAAGAGAGAGAAAATTCAAGTTGTACTTTAATGCTTTTGCCTCTTCATCTTCATCTTCCTCTTTTTTTCCTATTTCCTCCTCTCAACTTTACTGGTTCCATGACATGATGATGAACATAAAAAAACAGGAGAGAGAGTTTTGATGATTATAATGATGAGAAAGAGGATGATAAGAGAAAGAGAGAGACAAAAAATTGTATCTTGGGAAAGAATCAAAGGCAATGTTACAAATAAACTTTAACGAAGCATACAGCTTTGTTCATCAAAGTTGATGCTACAGCAAGGCATCAGTTAGCATTAAAATGATGCTTCATTAGGTGATTATGTTAATAACTGTTGGGTTCACAATGAATTTAAACATTGCCATTTCAACTTGGAATGAGCAAATGGAGGCTCAAAATGAACTATGATTCAACAAACATTT